CACCCTAAGCTCCGGTTTGTTTCCTTTTTATCTCACTTTTTTTTATCTATATCACACAGTCACTCCGCGTTTTTAATTTTGAAGGATTTATTCCATTAATTAATTGTCCTTCGGGTTTCGGCACGACGCAACACTTTTATCATTCGGTGCTTTTTAGACAACGTCGCCCCACGTTGGGCGCCAATTAAACAACTGCGGTAGCGGATTGTGTTTTTAAAAAGTTTTTATTTTACTTCGAACTTCACTGATATAGATTTAAGTAGAGGGTCACAAAGGAATTCCGGGCCAAGGGATTGCGCGATCTTAATATTTAGCTAGACTTTGCGGTGTCGCTGCTGGATCAAGACTGATTTGAACTTTCTGATCTTTGCATCGTTGATCCCTTTCGGGAATCGTTTTTCTATAAACATTTCAATTGATTTCGCCATCCCGAGTATTAGATTTCGTCATCCAAAGAGAGAACTGTAAAAGGCCTAAAGTGCAGGATCTGCAGAAAGCCGGGAGTGAGATTGTTTATGAGAAGCCGGGTGTGGGCAAACATTGGTTTTCCATTTAGGCGAGTGTCAAAGAATGGGATTGCGGCGGGGGCGCTTGAGATTGTACATCTTAGAAATCAATTAGGCGGAGGCCCAAGATTGAAATTGTTTTCGTTTTGGAAAACCAAAGATTGTTTACAACTCGTATAAGAGCTCAATGGAATTGGGTACGTTAACTTGCATACATATTTCATATACGTGTGTTCTTGTGTGTGTACGCAGCTCTCCGATATCCATTTATGGGTTGCTTGGGCAGTCTTTTACGCAGCGTCCAACATCTAACCAACACACATTCATTCCCCGCTCCTTCTATCTCCGGCCAAATTCCATTCAACATATATTGTTCAAACATGAACATATTATTGTACACTTTCACACATGTAACCAAAAAACCGATCTCTAAAGAAATCACATAAAGTGGACAAGCTCGGGTATAATGAGAGATCTGTAACCCATTGAAATATACGACAACAAAATACAACTGGAGAAAAAACTTAACCAATGCAGTCCTACAATAACACTAATGTAAACATGCACTCAAATTGCCACCCGCAGTAAAAATATAACCTTTGCGTGGGTCTAATGATAATAATAGCATATGAAATTGTATCTCATGCTTCATTGTCAATCACATATAAGGCTCTGATTTTAATAATAAAAGTTAGTTCGAATTTACAACTCAACTCGCAAATACCTAGACTTTTCTTTTAAGGTATTAACATATGTATACTTTGGGCAAATATGGAAGGAAGGATATCATATTTATTTTTTGTGTCTTTGCACCTTTCCAAAATTTTTCTTACGCCTCTTGGAGAATATCGGCTTGTGTGTGTGGCCTTATCAATAAAGGAGCCGATTTCCCGATTTTTTCGGCTTGCACTTTTTTTCTTGGCACCAAAACAAAATACCATTAAAAGAACAACAGGACTATCTTACATTCCAGCTCAACCGCAATTGTTTGTTGCTCCGTTGTTGTTTCCTTGTCAAATATGAATTTTCATTTAGGTTTTTTACATTTGTTACAACAAAAAAAAAATCAAAAATAAGAACTACAGTAAGTTGGTGAGAGCGTGTGGAAGGTGGCTCCAGCTTTGAGTGGGCGGAATCATTGACGAAACTCCGGACTCAAGGCTCGGTCTTTGCGCTCGGCTTCCTGTTCCGTTTAACGTTCCGTTCCGTACGTCACACGGTCTGAAAATAGACTGAATAGCTTCGGAGCGCAATCAACAGTATGTCGAATGTCCTTGTTGATACGACGCCGACGAGGACGAAGTTTAACCGAGAGACGAGAGCTGGGAGAGTCCTCAGTTCGCAGTCATCGTTGCTCCTCTGAGCCGCCGCACGGCCGGGGAGCTTGTTCCTTTCTGCTGGAGCGAGCTTTCTGCAGAAGGCAATCATTATCGCTGCAGCCAGAAGGCGGAGTGAGGTTTTTTGGGAGGAATATACTCGTGCTTGTAGGACGGAAACAGCAACTAAACCAACACAGATATACATAGGTTAAATAGTATATATAAAAAAACGAGGGGGAACGTTGTGAGTTGCTGCGGACACCGCAACTCTACAGTTATACCCGATACTAAGTCAGTATGGCTCGGATAGATATGGTCATTCTCTATGATTCTGCGTTTTTAGGTTTCTCGAATCTGCAATATTGTGGATTCCACAGATTTTCGCCCTTTGTGGGGGCGGAAGTGGGCAGGGCAAAGTTTTGAAATATTTTTGTAGCAGTGACATATCACAGAAGTCTGGATCCAAAACATCGTTGCTCTAGCTCTTATAGTCTTTGAGCACTAGGCGCTGAAGGGGACGGACAGACGGACAGACAGACAGACAGACAGGGCTCAATCGACTCGGCTATTGATGCTGATCAAGACTATATGTATATACTTTATGGGGTCGGAAACGATTCCTTCTGGTCGTTACACACATCCACTTTTACCACAAATCTAATATACCCCAATACTCATTTTGAGTATCGGGTATAAAAACTCGTGGAATATTTTAGTGGCATAATGTTGCACAGTCCTTCCCCACACTTATGGCTCAGCCTCCAGTCGTCCGATCACCCTAGAAACCGTCAGAAGTGGATGGAATGCCAGATGGTAGGTGGCTCCACAATGTCAATGCTATGAAATTGTTAATCGACCTAAGGGAACGTCGAACGTCCGCTAACGGGCTCCGAAATCGAATCAGGGGGATAGCCACTGACCGAGGCATCTGAGCGCTAACTAACCGGAAAAGTCTGGGAATTCATATGGTAGTATGCATATAAATTTTCATTTTTTGGGGAATCTGGGCAATGCAAATAAATAATATATGCTTCTCTTCTGCTGCGGTCCAGGCGAACGACGCGTGGAAATTCTCTGACAGTTCTATTCTCGCCCCCCCTGGAAAAGCCTTTAACCATTCTCTGCGGTCAGCACCAACCATTGGCAAATCCAGAGCCAACGTCCGAGCCATAGCCATAGCCGGAGCCAGAGTGGGAGTCACAGCCAGAAGTGTGGCATGGTAGCATTTCAAAGCATTTAATTAAGGGACATTCTTTAACTCAAATCCAATTAAACCCCTCTTTTTCCTCTCTCCGGGTTTAATTTTTTTTAAATTATGTAATGCAATTTATTTCCATCCCATTTTTATTTTTATTCATTTACGAGCACCTGTGTCGGGCACCTACTCTCCGAGAGGAGAACTGTTGGCATGGACAACGTGTCGTATACGCATCAATATGTTGCTGCCTGCCGCCTAGCTCAGTGGGTGTGTGAGTATTTGTATGTATGTGTGCGAGCATGCTCGTGCATGCTCGTCCGTGCGTGAGCCTGACATGAAAAGGCAGCTGCCTAAAGATATCCAGTACAGAGTTATAAAATTACGCGGCTCGGACTCGGAACGCAAGTAATTCGACATTAGCTCCCACGCTAGCCCCAGCCAACCAGCCCGCCATTCAGCCACTCTCTCCTTTTTTTCTCAAAATAGTTCTCTCTTCTCTGAGTTCGTTCGCTTTTACACCACAAAGCTTTTGACTGCGTCAGACATGCTCTCTGCTACGGAGCTTTCGGCGGCTGTCACAGCTGCCAAGTTTTTGGCGCCGGCATCAAGAGGAGTCACAGAAAAACAGTCAAAAACACAAATTATATCAGATACATGTGTCCATATATGTAGGTACTATAAGCAGCTTTTATTATACCCGGTAATCAGACATCTCATTTGTCCATTATGTAGAACCTTTTTTTACTGCAGTCTCCGCAACGAGAGAAAAATTGCAAAGATATCGAAGGACATGGGTTATAACAGAACGGAAAATGGTAGTCAAGACATCAAATAAGTCGGAAAACATGACTAATAAATGAATAAATATAAAATATACATAAATTATGAAATACAAATAAAATAGTTACTAACAAATGGATATATTTACTTAAATCGTAGATCTCCTGATTTCCTTATTTACAAAATGTATATATACATATATATTTTTTGGTTAACTTTCACTTTTTTAACGATGTCCCTACATTCACGGATGCGAAACGATTTTGCTAATCGTGAAGCGACTTCTACCCACCAACAACCAACGGTCAACACAAGGGCAAATTTAAAAAAAAAAATGTCAAAATCGAGGATATTAAAATAACATAGCTTATAAGATAATAAATGTGCCAAACACTTTTGTACGACAAATTTTAGACCATTTTTTGTTTAAGAATGTTGAAAAAATAATGCAATAATGTCATAAAATTATTTTTCTTTTGAAATTCGCGATTGATAGGCTGTTAAAACAGCAGTAAATTGCAAATTTATTGCTGTGGCAAAACATAAGTACGGCAGTGCATATACATATATGTACACATGTACATATATACATTATGTACGCGTGTTCGTACGAATATGTATGTATATATGTACGACATATATGAGTCGCAAGCTTTAAAATTGATGACATTACAGTGTTTTTTTAAGTGGCTCATCACAAAAGTCTACAAATTCCCTGTAAATCATCTGTAAATTTACACCTTAAAATATACATTTGTGTGTACATATATAAGGATTTTGGGGCTGTGTAAAAGCCTCTGCAGAAATACAATATACAATTATGCTCCACGAGTAGCGGGTGTGAAAAACACAGCTAAATGGAAAATCTCATTTTATCTAATCGCATTAAATCAGTGTTGTTCACGCCCTCAGCCTGTAACCACCTGCGCAAGCCGCTCAGGGTCCCTCGCCTCTGGCTTATCATCGCATCAGCAAAAATATTTATTATTCGCTACGTGAGGAAGGCTATGGTAGAGGCTGGTAGAGAACCCTCCGGAGCAACCGACCATTCCAGTTGGCTTTGCTCCGTATTCTTCTTCCATTTTTGGGGCTCTCTTCGGCTCCGAGTCCGGGTCTGCTTTGGCTTTGTTCACTCTGGGTCTGTAGAGCGCCATATCGTTTTACTGACTTAAAGCTATTGTTAGTTAGTGCACCGACCTTGTCTTAATTAGTCCGCACACTGCACATGACTGAGCCTCGTACTGTGAAAGGGATGAAGAACAAGATGGAGGTATTGATTAGAGAATAGCCCACAGGGCAGGTTGTCAGGGCGAGAGGTAAAAGGTATGTAGGAGCGGGTTGAATATTGAGTGGTAATGCAAGGGAGTTTCGTTAAATAAGCTAATGAGCCAGATGTTGACTGAAGATTACTCCACCATTCAGTGAAAGTTTCCGCAATGGAAATTCGCGGAGATGAAAAGATCTCAGCTTAATATTTGGAGAAAATGGTCAGTGGTCGGCAGAGACGGTTGAATGTTGAAAAAGGAAGAAATTCATTGAATTTCCAATTATTTGTGTGTAGCTTATGCTTATCAACAAAAAATATAGAAAATGGCGCGATGACAGAAAGAAAGACCATGAAACGTGTGTGTTAGAGAGAGACAGAGCAGGATAAATTTAAATGGTTTCTTGATTCTGGCTGTAATAATACGATCTGGTTCAGATTCTGCAATCTAGGAGACATAGCATAATTACTGAATTTTTTGTGTGTAAAAGAGACGAGCCCTCATAGGCCAAATATAAAAGACAGACAAAGGTAAAAAAGGAGATTTGGCAAGGAAATACGAAAAAAGAGAATGAAGTTCCACCATGTAGGCTTGATTGTTGAGGGGCCCAGTCACGACATAATTATTGAGAAATGCTTCCGATATGAAAATTAATAGACAATTTCGAAAGCTACAACAACGGAACAAGTAAGGGGTGTCCCCAAGTGGGAGTGCTGGTGGATTTAGAGGGAAGTGTTGAAGTGTCCTGGGAACGGATGATTGACTGGGTCATTCACTGCCACCCACCTACCGTCCAATCCCATTTCGCAGCCATGGGGCTCCAGCTTCCAGACACTTCACCGAATGCCGGCGCCAGCATCTCAGACATAGACAAAGAAAAACACTGAAACTGAAACAGAGACACACTTTTGCCAACGGAGAAGGGGAATGAAAAGATATTGAGATAGAGAGAGCGACAGAGCGACAGAGAGGGGGGTGATAGAAGTGAGAGCATAAAGAATCATGTGCAAACTGAACCGAGCTCAGCGCCCACAGCTTTATAGTTCATAGAGAGAGAGAGAGTAAAGTGTTCACCATGGCATATGCTTGATATTACCGGAGACGAAGAAAGAGCAGAGAAAAAAGAAAGGGAGACAACTAGCGATAGATACTTAATAAACTATTCAAAAAATTAGTTTATACTCAAAAAAAAAAAGAAAAGCAGACTTTTGAGAAGCAAAATAAGTAAAAGTATTCAAAGGATACACGGACTACAGTTAAAATGCAACTTCTTCCTTCACCTGCCGCATTTATTGTTATTATTAATTTTATGCGCCATATGACTTTTGGTACAACCATAAACAATCAGCAGTATCAAGTAAAAAACACCCCAAACCTTACTCCAATGGCCAACACAAAAAAAAATGGCAGTTCGAGTAAAAAAAAAAATAACACAAAAAATTACTGCTGTAAGAGAAAAACACATTATAGAAGGACATCACACAAACTAGATTGAAATATAAATTAATTATTAGTAAATTTTTTTCCAGCTGTAATAATAAATAATTGTTTAGTTGGTAGATATATACAGATATATTTTTGAAGTAAATCTTAAACTACCGGTCACTTACACTTACTCAGACCATTGACATGGTCTTGGTCTTGGCCTGGGTTTTAGTCTTGGTCTCCGTCATATTGTACTTGGAAAATCGTCTGCGATACATAATATCTCTGTAGGCCATGATTGGAGTTTGGCCAGGGCAGGGGTCGGGACACATAAAAATGCTAAGCCAGCGCAATGCTGGCGCGACGCACACACAAATACCAATTTCTAACTCCCTGATCCCTACCCCCTATCGAACCACTCCACCACACCCTAACATTATTCCATTCCATATGTGGGTCTCGGAATAATGCGCGTTATCCTGATTGCCTGTCGCGATATTGGGCCATGGGCTAAGGGAAATGAACAGGCTGCAAACAAGCCACTTCAACTTTACGCCCTCTAAAGGTATCAAAGTTAAGAGGAGAAACTTGCAGAGACGTTGGATTGTCCTCGTTTGGATTTTTGGACTGTTAATCCATTTTGCAACTTTTCATCCAAAGCTTTTTACAAAAGAAGAGTACTCCCTGCTTCGGTGCTTTTGGAGAAGATTATTCCGTTGTCTGTTAAAATTTCTTTTTTTCTTGTCTTCCTTCTTGCTTGCTCTGAGCCTATCAATTTGGCTCGTTTTTTCTCCGGGCTCGAGCTCGGCTCCTTCTGTCTTCTGATTCCTTCTGCTTGCTAGCTTATTTCCTTTGTGATTTATGCCCATCATCATTTGCTAAAGGACACACAGGACCGTGACCGGGACCGGGTCGAAGATAAGCGAAGCAGTCGCAACAGAATCTGATTGTTTCCCTCTTTTTCGCTGCGGCTAATTGGTTCCAAACACCCAACTATCAGATGATTATGGCCGAAAAGCTGAAGAATGGTTGAAACAGAAAGGGTGGTGATATTGGGGGGGCTGGAGCAACTAGCTAAACAACAATTTTAATTGCGACCAGGCAAAGTCATCGTATCATAGCACTACGTCTGGTCTGGGGCTTGGGCCAAAAGGCAAATGAGCGAACGCTCCAAGTAATATGAACGAGGTCAATGATTGTTTACACTACCCTCGAATGCTGTTTACCATAAGCCAGGCCAGGACTTGGATGATGAGGGTGAGCTTAAGGGTGCGGAGTATGAGGTTGGGGCGATGGGTCGTTGATGGTACAGTGGCAAACAACTACTAGACACCTAGAAGGGAGTTCCTCTCAACGAGCACTGAACGTGCTTGGGTACAGTGGATAGGCAGTAGTAGAATATCCTCTTCAAATTTGACGATTGGCCAGTAAATTATGATGCCTCTGCTTCTGGTATCATCCAGCTACCAGCTACATATACGGATGATTTTTCTTCGAAAATGTAGTCTACGTCGACACACTGTGCGGAGGGTCGCGCATGCCGCTTGCCCATTATGCCTCTAGGCTCCATTGCGAGCGAGTGTGTGTAAAGCATGTCTGTGTACTTAGGCACACACCCTCACATACTAGGAGAGTGACAGAAAGAGTGAGCTAGTGAGACAAAGAGAGATGCATATATATGTCGGTGTTTTAACAACTTTTACTGTGCTTGCCTCATTTACACGCCACGTCACGTGACCTGATTCCAATGCGAATGGAAATGGCAAGTAAAATGGAAATGGAAATGAAAGTGGAGAGTGAAAGAAGAATACGAAAAGGATGCGGAAAAAAGGGTGAACAGAGATCCAAAGCACTGATCAAAACACATCCAGTTTTTCTCCTTTCAAGAGACTTACACGACACAAACATCAGAAACATGCTCATCTAATTATAAATACTGTCTACAAAATTTAACGTCTCAATCACGCTACGGGTTAGCCCATAATCGGACGCCTCGGAGGGTATTGCAGGCCCAGCACGAAACCTGGCTAATCCTGCTCTACAGCTAGAAATTCCAGAGGCAACTTCAATTCTATGTCGCGGTCACAGAGAGGAAGATGGAACGAACAATGACGGAGACGGAGAAGGGGACTACGACGAGGAGGGACCTATCCCTTGTTTGCTGGCGATCAGAGTTTCCGCGGTTTTCGCCTTTGAGCAACTTAGGCAGTTGCCTGGGCTCCATTAAAACAGAGAACATTTTTATAGAACCAAAATTGCAAATAATAATAATTAAAAAAATGATCTCCACTGAGAACTAATTAAAAAATACGAAATAATCAAGTAAACAAAGTGCGCCAATAATTTTCAAATTATGTAAACAACCAAAAATAAAAATAATACAAAAAAACGAGGGGGAACGTTGTTCCCACGTTTTCACCACAAATGTAATATACGCAAAATACTAATTTTGAGTATCGGGTATAAAAACCTTACGACGGAAATGTTCCAGAAGGCATATTCACCTCGCGATAATTTGAGGAAAAGAGGTTTTCTGGTAATCATCGACAATCTTTACACTGAAATTAAATGCCGGGCGCAAGTTTATATGGAAATTTCGGAAAGATTCGCATTTCTAATTAACTTTTCTTTAAGCGGTGAAGACCTTCACAAAGCTAAATATATATAGCTTAATTAGTTTTAATTCTAGAGATTTGGATGAATTGTTCATTGAACTGGAAAAGTTCAAAACCTACGTGAACTCCAGATCCACCGATGTAGAAAAAAAGTCATAGACATATGTATAAGGTTCTAGTGAAATAAATTGCACTTTGAATTTTTTTAAATTTAATGATAACAAATTGTTCTGGCAAACGATCGAATAAAAACCAATAAAAGCTGCTGACGGTGCTACAATGTGCGACTAGACATGTTGGTTATTCTTTGGATTGAATCAGATAAACTATATAATATTAGTTTTCATAAAATAATAGACGCAAAATTTAGAAAAGAACGTGTTTAAAACATAAACGAAAAAGGAAAACCAATGTTTTGTATTTCAACTGAGAAAGAAGGGAAAGGGCGTGGAAAAATAGAGGGGCCCCGAAATTGATGATTGCCTAGGGCCCTGCGCCGGATCATGTTTCGCAGAGGCCCTCTGCTGCTGCTGCTAGAACTCTGGCCACTACAGATCAAGCGCTACTGTTGTTTCACAATTGTTAATCAAATTGGAGTCTACGTCCACATTGAATCTGAAACATTCAACCTTCCAAACTGCGGGGACGGACCGCTCCATAATTTTCATGGTTAAGGATAGAACGATAGAATGATAGGATGATGAGTGGATACACATACACATGCACATAAAAATGGGAATACACACCTGACGCGCCTTTGCCTGGTTTGGAGTTGCCGAAATCCAAATTGAAACAGAACTATACTCGTACTGAGCGGTTTCATGGAACTCATTCGCTTTAGGGAACAGTATACAACTGATTAGCTGTAATAATAAACAATATTTGCATAAACGCAACAAACCGCACTCAATCGCAGATAAAAAAAAAATTCGACACAAATACACAACGACCGCTTTTGTATCTGTGAGGTACTGGAGTTATTTAAAATGTGCACAAATATAAATTCAAAGGGTATTGGGGAACATAATAATGCGTTTAGTTGCGTTCCGTTTGGGGCAAGCTGAGGAGAACATGCAACTTGTGCGAAAGACAATCGAATGGCAGAGGCAACTGCCCCACCAGGAAGTGGCCTGGGGCCTCGGCCGCTGCCAGTTGCCAGCAGCGCAGTCAGCGCAGACAGCTGGCAGCGGGCGATAATAAAAGAATCGAGCAATCTAAGAATTTGAGAACTACAGAATTGAACAAGTAGCAAGGCAACAGATCGATACGATCCGATGCGACTATGAGATACCTGTTTCGTTTATACAAAAAATACTGCTCGTCTTTGTTCACTCTGGAACTTCACATGGTCAACATATCTTCCCTCTACAATATACCCTGATACTCTCCCAGCCCCAGGTATCACAAGCAATTGTTGAGAAACTTAGGAATTTACTTAGCTTTCTTGCAAGTGCCGTTGAATCTACCCCAATGGTCTTCGCTTGCAACTAATTATTGTCAGGGGGGCCCACCCGTAAACAGTAGACAATAGTCTTCTCTGTCCCATGCACCTCACACCGCACACCCACGGGGCTCCACTTGTTACGCGCTCTGCCTAAATATAGTAAATGATAAAAATTCAGACAAGGCATACAGAGAAAAAAAAGAAAGAGCAGATAGCAAAGAAATAAACAATAAACAATAAATCCGCAACAACAACAGATACAGATACGGACAACAGGAAAATCAAACGAACCGTTTATTGGGGTATTCATATGTGCACATATGCGGATCAAACCAAGCCAAACAGAACTCTGCACACACTACACTCGGCACCTGCGAAGTGCAAGTAAAAGTCTGTGAAAATGGGAAATTTTGGAGAAAGTTAAATCTTTGTGTAACATTGTCTTTGAACACCTGTTGAACATCTTTTGCAACTAAAAAATCTCAATATGTCCCCTTATGGAAATTTGTTTTCGCTCTGCTTTGATAAATGGAAATGTTTCTTTAAAAGATATTGAAATATCAATCATTTCTTTCTAAATCATTTCTCTACCAATCGATCAATCTAGCAGATTCCCTTCAAATACTTCAAATAATGATAATTTCCTGTCTCTGTCCACTGCGGATCCCAATTCGGATGAATTCAGCATACTAATTAAGTAGATCCCCACATCATTTCGTACGAGTACGAGTATTTGCCATTTGAATTTGCTGTTCTTCAAAGTCGCTATCGAACGCGCAAAGAATAAATTCGTAATTGCGTACATAAGATAGGCATTTAATAGGTACACCATCTGTAGACTTAGAAGGGAAGAGTGGACTGGATATGGTAAGGGGAAATACCACGTCATTGGCGTCGACTGAGGCAGCAGCAGAGATATTAACGCTTTGTGGCGTACTCACGCGAGGCCAATGCCGAAAAGAATTGAGTTCGAATGCCGATGCGAATACGAATCGGGCCAAATATAATTACTGTTTATTTATTCTAGGTAAATCGGTTGTTGTATGAGGAGGGATGGGTTGATGAGTATGGTTTTCAGTGCGGGTGTTTTAATGTAAAAATATGAAATCCAAAATTTCTTGCTTTTGCGCATGCCGTATACCGTTCAGACGGTTTCACCATTTTTAAAACATGTTGAAATTCCCAAAACTGGCTAACTTGTTTGGACGCTAAGTGTAGAAGGTCATCAAGGCCATCAAGATCATCAAGGCTATGAGTCTTATAGGGTACCAAAAGTTTCGAGCTCAAAGTAAGCCTTCCATTCTTGTTATTTTTGCTGTTGTTTGTCTTTGTTTCGGCTTTTATTTGGCCCAGCAGATATGCATATATGTAGATTTACTCTCACAGATACAGCTGCATATACAGAATCAGATTCGGATTCGGAATCTATTTAGATTTTTATCTGGCTGCCTTTCATTATAAATAGTTTTGTTGCCCAGATAAATATTCAGCGCTGCTTCTGCCTCTGGCTCTGGCATAGCCACTACCTCTGCGGACTTTCCATTTGCTAGTATATCGAATGGATACCCTGGAACTACAATAGGATAGCAGTGCCCATGCCGAAACCGACTTATCATGTCCGGTTTTATTATTAAAAAATAAAATATGAAAACTATTAAATGTCAATACACAGAGGGAGAATAAGCGACTAAGTATAAAAAAAATCACGAAAATAATTATAGTGGAAACTAAACATTTAATCAGCAGAAATGTATCAAAGGAAAAAGAAAGGCATGAGACCCTGTCATGTCTGGAAAACCGAATTGAGTGAAAATTAACTTTTTCAATTGCGATTAGGTGAGATTAGCCACTGCAAACCTTCCCTCTGTACTGTCGATACTCATAATTATTTACAATTACGCCTGCAAACGAATACAACGCATTCGGGTGGGCATGCATAATGTATAAGGTATAAGAAGTATGGTCAATGGTTTTGGTTCTTGTTATGATGATATTTCATTGCTGCCAAAATGTCCACTATGTAAATATATACAGTGGCGAGCACGTGTGGATACATGTTTATCACTTTGCACTTTAAGCGCCTGTAAAATCTTTAAAAATCAATCAATCCTTGTGATTTTTTTTTTTTAAAGATTCATTAAGTTATTGAGAATGAAACGAGGGGGAACGTTGTGAGTTGCTGCGGACACCGCAACTCTACAGTTATACCCGATACTAAGTCAGTATGGCTCTCCTCCGGCAGCGCCGCTAATATTAAACGACACGACAAAGAGTGCGTGCGAGAGAGACAGAAAATCAGTCTGTGCGTGACGTCGGGCGCTGCGTAGCCAATGCAAATTGATTTGTTCCTTTTGGCTACAAAAATTATCTGATCTGATCCAGATTCAGCAATCTGATAGATATGGTCATTATCTATGATTCTGCGTTTTTAGTTTTCTCAAATCTGCAATATTGTAGATGCAACAGATTTTCGTCCTTTGTGTGGGCGGATGGGGGTGGGGTGAAATTCTGAGATATACGTTTTATAGTGACATCTTAAAGGAGTGTGTGTACCAAATTTGGTTACTCTAGCCTTAATAGTCTCTGAGATTTGTGGTTGCCTCAGATTTTCGTCCTTTGCGGGGGCGGAAGGGGGTGTGGCGAAATTTGGACAGGAAACGGTCAAGGTCCGATATCACAGGAGTGTGGATACCAAATTTGGTTGCTCTGGCTTTTATAGGTTCTGAGATCCTTGAACTCATATTTTGCAAATTGCAAAACCGACCATGAAACCTGTGTGTTAGAGTGAGACAGAGCGAGAAAGAGTGATATTGTTTTCGTGATTCTGGCTGTAATAATTATACGATCTGGTTCAGATTTTGCACTCTAGAAGATATAGTCATCTTCTACGATTCTGCGTTTTTAGTTTTTTCGTATCTTTAAAATTGTGGATGCCACAGATTTTCGTCCTTTGTGGGGGCGGAAGTGGGCAGGGCAAAGTTTTGAAATATTTTTGTAGCAGTGACATATCACAGAATTTCGGATCAAAAACATCGTTGCTCTAGCTCTTATTGTCTTTGAGCATTAGGCGCTGAAGGGGACGGACAGACGGACAGACGGACAGACGGACGGACGGACAGACAGACAGGGCTCAATCGACTCGGCTATTGATGCTGATCAAGAATATATATACTTTATAGGGTCGGAAACGATTCCTTCTGGACGTTACACACATCCACTTTTACCACAAATCTAATATACCCCAATACTCATTTTGAGTATCGGGTATAAAAAGACAACAATTTCAATTCAAAGAGATCCTTTTCCTTAAGAGATTTTAATTTGTTCAAAAAATGAGCATGTATCCACTTTTGCACGTTTCAAATTTTTTTACTTTAATAATTTTTTAAAAATATTTTTTCCAAAGGGCATTAGTTTTTATCATATTCCGAATAAGTATTGGCATACTCTCGACTAAATTTAGTAGGTGCTGGAAAGGTATCATGCGCCACTCCAACCTCACGCGCTCTCAAAGACTCGCCCAATCCCTTTGGTGCAGACTCGTACTTTTCCAATGTTTTTTAAACAGAGCCCATCGATTTTCAATGGGATTTAGATTTGGACTATTCAGCAGGCCACTGGATTAAGTGAAAACTCGAATTTAGCCGTGTGCGTCGGGCTACCGTATGGCTGGAAAGTGATCTCGGATATGGGGAAGTCACATTTCTCTATAAAATTTGACAAAATGGGTTCCTAAATACTAAGATAATATTCTTTCTTCATTACTCCATCGATTTTAACCAATTGGAGAACGTCCCATGAGTGGACGCTCTGCGTACGATCGGCATGACACCGGCAGATAGCCAGAAGAAACCTGCCCTCTCTCACAAAAAGGGGCTGCGCATCTTATATTTACCGAGGAGCATAGGAACTGGACCAGGGATAATTTTAAGAAGGTAATTGGGTCAGATATACCAAAATAAACCGTTTTAAGTCTGATCGAAATGAAAACTACTGATACCGATCATGTGGAAAGCTAAAAAATCATCAGGTCAAGGAAACAATAAAGCATGGACGAGGAAGCCTGACGGTGTAGGGCTGCTACACTTGGTGGAGCGTTAATTAATTGGTTAAAATCGATGGAGTAATGAAGAAAGAATATTATCTTAGTATTTAGGAACCCATTTTGTCAAATTTTATAGAGAAATGTGACTTCCCCATATCCGAGATCACTTTCCAGCCATACGGTAGCCCGACGCACACGGCTAAATTCGTGAAAAATCGTCCCAATAATTCGAGTTTTCACTTAATCCAGTGGCCTGCTGAATAGTCCAAATCTAAATCCCATTGAAAATCGATGGGCTCTGTTTAAAAAACATTGGAAAAGTACGAGTCTGCACCAAAGGGATTGGGCGAGTCTTTGAGAGCGCGTGAGGTCGGAGTGGCGCATGATACCTTTCCAGCACCTACTAAATTTAGTCGAGAGTATGCCAATACTTATTCGGAATATGATAAAAACTAAGGCCCTTTGGAAAAAATATTTTTAAAAAATTATTAAAGTAAAAAAATTTGAAACGTGCAAAAGTGGATACATGCTCATTTTTTGAACAAATTAAAATCTCTTAAGGAAAAGGATCTCTTTGAATTGAAATTGTTGTCTTTTTTCATTCACAATAACTTAATGAATCTTTAAAAAAAAAAATCACAAGGATTGATTGATTTTTAAAGATTTTACAGGCGCTTAAAGTGAAAAGTGATGAACATGTATCCACACGTGCTCGCCACTGTATCTATGTATATCAGATCGGATTATTATTATAGCCAGGAGGAGCAAATCAATTTTTAGTTGCTATGCAAACCCCTTCACGCACATACTCATTCTCTCTGTCTCACACACACTCTTCGTGAATTGAATGTAAAACGAATTAAGAAATAGTTGTTCTTTAGAAAAGTAAAGTTTTTAATTCTTCAAGCTGAAATGCCCCACATTGCGACGGGTCGTCTGATAATTTTTACAGAAAAGTTAAACAGAGTTTTACGTAAATATGTATAGTCGTTATCGGCACACAATAAATGGGTATTTATTTGCATTCACAATGGCACACTTGCACTAAATCACACACCGACACACGCGCAGACACATACAAATATAGTCCGATCTTGGCACTTAAAGAATGTTTCTCTGGCCACACATCGCTCAAACATCCTTGTCCCCCCTCCTCACAGCCCTAAAACACACACACAAGCAGAAAGATTTGCTGTTGAAGCATTATACATTTATAAACGAAGCGTATACATTTCAACCAAATCAAATCCATGCTATATTCATGTACATGTCTCTGCTGAATGCAGATACTCCACGTGTGCCACCGTGACATTAAATTCCCATTCTATGAACTCATTTAAGGAGTTCCAGTCGCTTCAGACCAGTTCCTTAGTTCCAAGAATGTCGCAGGGCATTGAATAACTTACCTGGAGCGTACTCAAAAAACTCTTGGCCTTCTAACGAAAGCTAACACAGTTACGTATTGTCCAAAATATTCTATCTTTTAAGTATGGATATGTTGTCAAACCAAGGTCGAATACATCGTCCGCTCAAAAAAAAATTTAAAAAAACGCTCCTTGCATCGCTTTAAAATTTTTATTTGACGTAAGTAATATTTTCTGACAGTAACAAGATAAATTTTCCATTCCTCCCTTCTGCGATTATTTAAAAAAAGTTGTTTTCCTTGGTAAAAGAATTTGATTTTCACTTCGTTTCTTGTTTTATAATTTTCTTTCTTACTATTTTTTTTTCTAGTGTGCATGCCATGTAATCACCGGCGTTGCAGTAATCATAATATTAATCGGAATAATAGTCGCGATGACAAATACAATGATGATTGATAACGGGTAAATATAGAGATAAAAAACTAACCGAAATCGATTCAAGAAAAATGGGACAACAAAATTGTATTGTTTTTAAATTGTTTAATAGATTTCATATATTTTTTTTAAATATACGAATTTTTCCTAAGCTTGTTTGTTTCTGCTGCAGTTATTTCCTTTCTGAATTATTCTCTTGACTTTTTACGTTTTATGTTGTTCTTCGAAAGGCAAAAAAGTTTCAAATTCTGCTAAAAATTATCACTAAAAACGTTTTCCTACTTTTCCGTTAAGTTGTATTAATTTTTTTTCCTTTAGTTTTCATTCCCGCGTACATATGTATTTCCCATATCCACGTGGATAACACTATGCAACAGCCAATAAAACTCTGGCATCAAACCCACTTTTTCTACTAAGCTTGGGGCTGAAAAAATTTACATTGAATTATGCTTTTTTTCCGACTTTGCATTGGAAAGCTTCCCCGACGATAAGCTTAACATACAAAGTTTTAAAGGCCGAACGGTAGCTCCATAAAACCATGTGTAACATACTCAAATTATGTGAAACAAGCAAGTTTACCTTTAAAAAAACATTTAAAAAAATACAATTTTTCAACCATTTTTCAATCTCTAAAAAAATCCATAAGTCATACTTTTTCTTAACCTCAAGATAAAAAATAGGTAGATTTTGTTGCATAGTGTATTTTGGGTATTATTAGTTTTTAGTTGCTGTTTGACTCGTTATGGCGGAGTGTGTATATAATGTATATAGTTATTATCGTATATTTACTAATACATATATATATATATATATATATATATATATAATTCATGTATATAAGTATGTAAAATATTGCTTGTGAAACGTTTAACTTGACATTCATGTGGTTTGTCAACGGCGGTGGAAAGTATCTCATCTGCATCTGGATGAGTATCTGTAGATCTGGATCTGTTGCTGAGGATCCACCTCCCTTTTCCACGCCTTTCCATTTGTAAATAATTATAAATATTCCCATAGCCGGTAATACAATTGACTTGATTCGTTCCAATCGCAAAAAAATACCATACTCTTGCAGGTTTACTTTTTGTCAATTATCTTTTTCTTTTTGTTTCTTATATTTGTGTTCAAAAACTTATGCGGTATAATTCTTCTGGTATTGGTGTTTGACTATGCATCTATGGATGTACATATGTTTAATTTTTTGTTAGCGTCTGTGTGTGTGTTTTATTGGTGGTGCGCGTGATTCACTCAGTGGTATTTACAGATGTATTTCGCTTTTATTTTCTTTCGAGTTTCTTTACCTTACAAAAAAAAAATACAACGTGAAAACTGCCTTTCCTAGTCATACTCATAGTATATTCCATTGTCATATCATAGTATTCGTTATTTTTTGTATATTTTTTTGTGTTTTTTTTTTTTGTCAATTTGGTTTTAACTACTTGACTACAGACATATTTGTTTTGTCAGCTATATCACTTTCAAATTATTTAATTATTGATTAGAGTTTTCGGATTTCCATTTTTTTGTCATTGTGTTTTAATATACTCATGGTATACTCGTTCAAGTGTGTGTTTGGATAAGTGTATTTTTTCTTAGTATTTTTATCGAAGAATTTCAGTGAGGTTTATAGAAGCGTTTTGTATTGGCGTTTTTCTTTAGTTTTTTGTTATACATAGGTATTTAAGTGCTTAATGTTTAGAGTATAATTAAGTTGTAGGCATAAATATTTACACATACATGTCTGTATATGTGTGTGCGTGCATGCGTGGGTAGGTAGGTGTGTGTGTGTGCGTGTTTGTATGTGTGTGTGTGTTGGGTTGGGGGGGAGGATTTTTGGGTTAGTTGAATTTATATTTTTTTTTTATTGAATTCCATTTTATCTCCGAATAAGTAGAGCTCGACGATTAGTTGCAGAAAGATATGCAAATTGTTGGGAAAAAATAGAATAAGTAAGGTTAAACATTTTATAGATTCAAGAAAGCAATGCAAAGCGGACAGAATTAAAGAATCGAAGCGAACTGAATAGAATATAAGAGGAAAAAGGAAAGAGTCGTGCGTAGAGAGAGAAGAGTCTGGTATCTAGAACTAATGTATGAGTATTAAGAGTGGGATTATCCCACTCGAGTGCGTAAGTAAGCAGATGTGATCGGCAGGCCCCGTCTGTATAGATAGTTATCGGAATAGATAGAAGGGGTTAACTGGTTTATCAAAATCAATGCAATAATAAAGCTGAACCGCATATAGAATAGAAATTAAATCGTATGATGGATTTTTTTTTTCGATTTCTTTCGCTATATTCTGCTCCCCACTCTTCTGTTCTTTGTATTTTTCTGATGACTGCCGCTCGTTCTTGTAGAGTGTAGAGTATATACATATACATATATTCATATATAGTTATGGTGGATACATATTTTATATCAAGCTTTTGTTGTTGCTAGCTGAGACTGTGCGTTGTTTGCTTTAATTATCATTTATTGATAGCCGCATTTCTCAGATGTTTTCATCGGCCGATGGCTCTATTGTCAATGTGGTTTTGTGTTTTTTTTTGTAACTGTTGTGGCTGTGGTTGTTATTGTTGTTCACGGAAATCAAGGCAAAGCAGGTAATATAGAGAGTGACAGATAGAGAGAGAGAGAGAGAGAGAGAGAGATAGAGAAATAGAGAGAGTGAGCAAATAAAAGCAATTATTTTTCTGCGCCTTTGGGTATGCAACACTTCTTGCACTTCCCGAACCTCAAAATTGGGCATGGAGTAACTAGGACCCCTAACACTGGCCCGAAGTTTACTTGCTTTAAGCATGAAAAGCATTGCATCTCTCTGAAGGAAGCCTTTGTCAAAAAGAGAGACGAGTCGATAGGTTGAGAGTAAGAGGGAGTGAGGTTGTAGAGTAGCAGCTTGTCGTACTGTTCACCTATCTTTATCTGTATCTATTTTTTTTCTGTATGTCCTTATTTAATACGCCTTTTAATGATTCGATTTGATTTGATTCTATTATGTTTTTTCCTCCCCCCATCTGTCTATCTGTCTCTGTTCAAACTGTCCTCTCATACATGTATATGTATTATTGGAGCGTATACAGTCGCTGCTGCTTAGGTTTAAGATACTTGACGGCTGTTCCACTTACTGTCTGCATTAGTTGAGTTAATTTAGTTTTAGTTAAGATAGTATCTTTTGTGTATTTATCTCGAAGGCTGCACTCGCTAAAATACTCGCAATTGATTCGTAGGCGTAGCTCGGATACAATTATAGATAGTATATTAATGCTGATTTATTCGTATTCGTAGTTTAATTACTCGTAATTGGTATGTATTCTTTGAAAAAAGATTTGCGCTTCTCCCGCATTCAAAGTTAAAAATATTTTATTTTTTACTGTAGGCTATGAACTGCGCTTTGACTACGCCACGATTTCCTATAGTTTTGCATTCCGGTGTATATTTAAAAATGAAGTTTCATTATTTTTTTCACTTTTTTGCTTCTTGCTTCTGGTTTTTATGTTTTTCAGACATCCCTTTTTCGGTATGCATTTATACAAAAATTATTATCATCTTCAATGTCTCGATTGACGCGCGGTATCGAGAATCGGGAAACAGGAATCAGTAGTCGGTAATCGTGAATCGGCAATCGAGAAAAGCGTAGAAAAAACATTGTGGAGAAGCAATTTCAGATAAAGGAAGAGTCGAGTCTCCTCCGGCTATAGCTTTCTGGTTTTGGTCTTAACGTTGGTTGAATGCGTTTTTTTTGTTAGTTGTTTGGTTGAAATCGGTTGTTTTTGTGGGTCACGGTTATTGGCTTAGCCACCACCTAAACTTAACGCCTGAACTATACGTGGATCAGCTTTACTACCCTCACGAAATTCTTCTAATGTTAATTTTCCATCATGATTCTTATCCATCTGATCGAAGATCTTGTCAACACGCTTCTGCGGCGTGTTCTCATCCTCCGACTGCGGCTGCTGGCCCTGTGGATAGATGGATATACATATGTACATATATAGATGGTCTGTCCCCTGACTTATTTGTTCAAGCCGTCTCCACTTACCACCATCTGGTAGATTGCATCCACAATGTTGTACATCTCTTCTCGCGTTATATACCCATCGTTGTCCACGTCGTAAAGACGGAAGGCCCCTATTTAAAAAGCAGAAGATGCACCAAAATATTTAGGCATTTATCGGAGGAAAGGCCGGTTTAGGGATCATACAGTGATTAAGTTGTCTTGATTCAACTTACACTGCAGTTTTTCGTCCAGATTTCCCTTCGATGTGACGGAAAGGGCGCGTATAAACTCCTCAAACTCAATGGAGCCATCCTGAAGTATATAGATTAACAACAACAAAATTAAAATATAATATTAAAAAATGTATATATACATATATTAAAAATAAAAAAAGAAATAGAGAAGAGAGGGAGAGAGAGAGAGAGATTCGCACAAACAAAACAGCGAAGCAAAGAAAAAAATCAGTGTGGCTGTCTCAGTTTTTTGGCCAAGTAAGCTAATAAAAAGAAACAAAAAAGTGGCTTGTAGGGTTTGTAGAGTTGCTTGAACTGGGCGTGGCCAGAGGGCCAGAGACGAAACGAGGGCCGAGAGACCCCTCTATATGGCATGACATACTCACATTGTTTTCATCGAAGACCCGAAAGACGAGCGAGGCAAATTTACTCGGATCGCCTTGTGGGAAAAACTGTTTGTAGATTTTTATAAAGCCCTGAAAATGGAAAAAGTGGGGGAAAAAGAGAAGCCGGGAGAGAGAAATTTAAGCACATATGTAAATATTTACATAAATCAATTAGAGACATGGCATTTGAACATATGTGTTTGTTTTGGATTTAGTAATGCTAGCATTAATAAATTTCATTATCAAAAACAGTAAACAACGTCGCGACAAAAGCTCTTTTCGAAAACGCTCCGATTAGGCTTGAATGAATTGGCGGAGGTGACACTCCATTTCCACTCCACCTGAGGGTGTAGCAGAAACATGGCAGATATATGTAGATAATTTATAGAGTACACCACATGACATTTTTTACGTATAAAGGATACGCCCCAGGCATCCTAAGTTACTTACCTGCTCCGTTAAAAGTCCATTGGGACAGTCTTTTAGAAATCCTTTGTGCCTGGTACCGTAAGAATGCCAAAAAATGGAAATGGGATTTGGAAATTATCATAAATTGGCATATTCGAACTATATTTCCCCCCATGCAAATTTTCCGCACTCACCATTGACGTATTTCTTTTTCTGTGACTGCAAAAAAAAAAACAGTCAGAAAAATCGAAATGAATTAAAATTTTATAGAGCATTTGATATAATTGCAATATATGGATGAGGATGGATTTTCGGGTGCGGGCACGGAGGGCGTATATTTATGCAATGAGTAATACGCAAAACGTAGTTGAATGGAAAATCAGTTGAATTAACAGCTACATACGATAGCTACATCAGGTTTTGATCACTACGATACCTGGAAACAATTGAATATCGTATTCTATTTTCAGTAGAAACCATCCTGTTAGCCAGTGATTCCCAATAATAAAAATTCATTAACATCAGACGATTGCAACTGACATAGCACAACCGAGACGCACTGTTTTCCCATTGCTGTCTATTTAATTTGCTCTCAATTCAAAAATCAATGACATTATCGATAGTATATTGGCCATTCTTTATGGATCTTTTGTTCAATATGTCGAGGAAATGATACGTTGTGACCACTTTATCGGTCTTACCTTCGGCCGTATGCAAATGTTGATTTCATTTAGGTTGGAGTATTAGATTATCCTTCATTATCTTTTGGCCAAGCTCAATAACCTATATATCCCTCCAGATTCCTGTATCCTCACCATTTCCTTTACTTCTTCAGCTCCATTTATGCATACAAATTGTTTTGTTTTCTTGCTGTTGGTATTATTCTTCTTCATTTTGTTTGGCCCCCGCCGACGGCCATTGCCATTGCCACCCATTACTACTCTGGCCAGGCCAGGCCAGACCTAATGGCAGCTTACAAAACGCTTAAACGCTTCTCCCCCAGGATACTTCAATGGCCCTGGGAATGGCACACATGTTGTGGCCGGACACCAGAAGAAGGTGGGAATACCACCTACATCCTCAACATACAGAGAACAAAACAAAACACACAAAAACATAAATTCACGCAAAATTACACACATTGGAATTGCTTTTATGGAGAGGAGAGCATCCATATGGGGGCGTCACGAGCACTGGTCAATGGCCAGAACTCTCTGGTTTGGTATTAAAGGATACCCCAAGGGATCTGGAGTTGTAGATGGATATTGCTCTGAAAAAGGAAATAGAGCATGAGATGAAACTGGAACTTGGCTATTGACTCAATGCCTACAGATTTTTTGCAACGGACTCTCGCATTATTAAAAATATTATTCATATATCTTTTGAGCCCTCTAGTCTCCTTTTTTTATTTTTCTCTCTCTCATTCATTTTACCTTCTTACTGTTAGATGTTTACCTATTATTTTTCATTTTGATGAATCCCTGCCAAAACGCTTGAAGAAATCGCAGCGCTTTTGTATTTTAATAAGCTTTGCCCACTGTGTTCTATCCACATATTCCGCTCATACTACCCTATCGCTGCTCCATATTTCACTCTCGCCTTTCCCTTCCCTAAGGGACTGTCGATTCAATGAAGTCAACAATTGCCAAGGCCAAATTAACCAGAATTGATTGGTAATCGATAGCCTGTGTAACAGACAAACAGATAGACTCTCCCTTTTCAAACGACTGATGTGTGGCATGTAAAAATATAGAGGTATATAACGGACCTACAACCCATTGTGTGGGCGTTCCTTACCATCTTTAGCATTGACTGTTAATAAAGCGCATTTTGCACATACGACTTGTTGCCATCACTGTCAGACAACACAACACGAAAGAGGAGCGCATCGGCTCGTGGTTTCAGGCTGCCACTTTGTTGCACCCTACGCAAAAGAAGCCATCCCTATACCCAGAGACATTCTGTCTCGTTCCACACGAGGCGGAAGCTGGCTTAAGAATTAATACGCAGTTTGACTGAAGGCTCTCTAAATCACGAAAATGAAATTGATAGCCTTGGAGTCCTGAAAAACACAGGGGATAGTCAGGATGGCATAGCAGGTTACGCCCCACTGCTGTGTAAGTGCCCAGACGCAACCCACACCCCTCAAGCCTTGGCCATGTACATAAAACGTATTCATATTCATTCCGTGGTTCGCCTAACTATTCCTGGCCTGGTTTGGCTCCTGGGCTCCCTTGTATTCATAATTAATCTGGACAGGAACAGGGTCATGTGAAAAACTTACTCAATAGCTGCATTTCACCAAAGACTATACAATATACTATATTGTATAGTCTTTGATTTCACATAATGCCATGTTTACAGCGCCCGTTTAAGTGCATTCTGTCTGGCCAATCTCAGCCGAATCGATGCAAATCGTAATCGGAATGAATGGATATAATTGAAGACTGACCGATCCGATGCGCTTTTTTTGGCCAAAACATTTCTTATAGAATATAATTCCTAATTCTGCTAATTCCTGATTTGCTGATCACAGAGTTCAGAGCAAGCATACAAAACCTCTGGTCAAACACCTGTTCAAAGTTGACTCGGGGACTTGCATTTGCTATTTGACCTGGTTTTATCTGTCATTTCACCCGAACTAATCAAATTTCTGGCTTATTTATTCCATTGGCAGTACAGAGAGAGGTTAGTTTAATGTCCAATTGATTGGCATGTCAATGGAAAGGACAAATATTGACCAAAGTCTGCAGCGAACGGAGAACGGACAAAAGTCTTCCTCCTTGAGCACGGTTATAAATTGAGTCCTTTGCTGATTCATTTGTTTTGTCTAGCCAAACAAAAGCTGGTCAACCGGCAGCTGTTGCTGCTATCAGCCAAGGCACACACACGCAGCATTCAAAACAAGTTGGAGCTCTATACTCGGTACTCTCATAGATCTCCCAGATAAGTCAACAGGGAATGAAACGGAGATATGCCCTCTGAAAGAGAGGGTGTTTGTTGAATTTAATCTTTATCCAATCAAGGCGATGTTTAGCACATGGCTGGATAATATATAATTATGCGAGTATATGAAGGGGAATTTTCGAAGGGGAAACTTGTTTTCTCCAGCCTTTTCTCCACGATTACTGAGTACTGGGTACTGAAAACCCCAACTTACGAGTCGAAACGGATGGGAGAGATGAAGGAAAGTTAAGCTGCAGCGGATTACAGCATTTTGGATTTGTGGGAGCAAAGAGGATTACAATTATTGGGTTTTATATTTAAGCAGGAAGCACAATAAATTCTATTCCAACTTAGCCATTAGACCGTTCTGTATTCCTGCACTTTGGCAGAAATCTGTCAACACTTTTCCACAGCACCAGAAAGTCTTCCCCGTTCTCTTTTTGGCCAGGTGCCCGCAAATGACAGAAGAATGGAAATGGGGAAAAACGAAAGCAATTAGTCACAAACTTTCGGGCCTCTAAAAGTTTATGACTTGCATTTTTATGGAGAAAAAAATGGTCAAAATAGAGCAGGGATCTCTAACCAAAAAGCAGAACTGTTAAAAAGTAACCGTACATTTTCTGCTTACAAAAAATTAGCAAATGAAGATAAAGATCAAATGGAAGTCATAGAGGAAGTGATTTGTAAGTTAGTAAAATAAATAACTAATAAGTTTTTCCATTTATATTTCCAGTAATATTACCAGTAATATTTCGCTAAATAAGCAGCAACAAGGTCAACTAGTTAAAGAAGTAATGCAAAATCGTATTCTCTCAGAGCATTGCCTAACCATGATAAAAGAAAGGCTTTTTCCGCTGGACAATCGGGAAGCAGATTGAGCTCAAGAGTGAAGCGAATGAAAAGCGAGTGAAAACACAAAAATGTGTTTGTGTGCCGAGTGAGATTGAAAAATTTTGGAATGTCAAAACGATGCGAATACATTCAAGCTAGGAAAACAGGATGAGGTATAGAAAACAGGCAAAACGGCCCAGAAAATGAAACACATGCAAGGTTAAGTCCACCCCTTTTTGCCTAATACACCTTTTGATCCTCTCTGATCGAGTCGTCTTTCACCATACGCACTCTCTTGCTAACACCTACACAACAATGGGACAGACGGTAAACGAGAATAAGCATGCACAGCAATGCAATTGAACAGACAGTGGAAAATAACAAACGGTAAATCTTAAAGAAGGAAACGGAAGATAACACTGAGAAAAATCTCGTAGTGAATTCTTTTACAGCAAACAGACCAAATACACTGAGAATTATATTAGGACCCGACATATGTATGTACATGTACTTTCGAGGTTTGAATATTATCAAAGACTATACAATACCAAGATTTTGCATGAGCGACCAAAAAGCTGTTCTATGGCGGGTCCTAACATTAGAACCCAAAAGGCACGAGGGAGCGCTCCGGGTTTCAATTCCCTTTTCGCCTGTATTTCGTCTCTACCGCGACCCCGCTGCCCATCGGTTTCGTCTGTTCGGCAATTCTAGACTCTCGAGCCTCAGCACCGTCGAAGCGGTGGTCGCGGACCGCCGATGTCTTTGGAGCGGCACAGTGGGACCTATGGCCGTCTCAGCTTGCTAAATTAGTTAGTGAATATGAGTTCAATAAATATTTGCACACTGAAAAAATGTTAAACTTTGAGTGCTTACATATATCTCCTAAACTAAAACTATCTTGAAAATTCGATTGGAAAATTCTCTATTAGATGCGTATATTAAATTTATCTAAAGCACTCATACAATTTATTTACTATTTCGGCTGAGTCCCCACAGTGCCGCGCCAAAGACATCAGCGACCACGCTGCCCTACGTTTTCGGCACGCAGACGATTCATATTTTGTTTTTGTATTGACTCGACGCTGACCGAGGCATTGACGAAGCCGAGTAGCATTTCGGAGGCGAAGGTAGCGTAAAAGAGAATTGAAGTAATAGCCCCGCGCGCCCGTACCTTGAAGCATCAAACGAAAATTGAAAAAGAATTTGTTCCTCATGCAACATCTTGGTATTGCATAGTCTTTGGTATTGCATAATCTTTGATATTATTCTCAGAGTATTTTGGTTAATTGGCTGTATGAACTGACTAGCAGATTTTGTTCACTGTGTTCTCTCCTGCTCTCTCAGTGTTATGTATGTACATCCTTAACTTGATTATTCTTTATTCTTGTATATTATTTGAAAGTTATATTTTGCGGATTACGTTTTCAGACACAACGTTTCGTTTTCGTTGTAAGGTGTTGTTGTTGTTGCCCTGGCCAATTTTTTCCGAGGCAAATTTGAGGTTGGTTTTAACCCAAAATTATTTATAAAGACAACAAAAGTAAAACGAGGGGGAACGTTGTGAGTTGCAGCGACGACCGGAACTCTACACTTATAACCGATACATAGTCAGTATGGCTACATTGAGCGACAATGTGTACTTGCGGGAGAGACAGAAAACGTGTCTGAACATACCGCCGGGCGCTTCGTAGCCACTGCAAATTAAAATGTTCCTTTTGGCTATAAAAACGATCCGATCTGATGCATATTCAGCAATCTCATAGATACGGTCATTCTCTATGATTGTGGATCATGGATGTTGATGTGGATGCCACAGATTTTCGTCCTTTGTAGGATCGGAAGGGGGTGGGTCTCTGAGATCTAGGCGCTAATGTTTAACGCTAAGCAAAGTCGGCTATGATACGCGAGTGTTAGAGAGAGAGAGACAGGGCGAGAACAAATGAAATTGTTTTCTTGATTCTAGCTATAATAATGATATGATCCAATTCAGATTCTGCAGTCTAAAAGATATGGTCATTTTTTACGATTCTGCCCTCTTGGTTTTCTCGTATCTTTAAAATTATGGATGCCACAGATTTTGGTCCTTTGTGGGGGCGGACGTGGGCGGCGCGAAGTTTTGCGTGTAAGTTGAGTGTAAAATCTGAACCAGATCGTATAATTATTATAGCCAGAATCAAGAAAACAATTAAATTCCTTCTCGCTCTGTCTCTCTCTAACACACAGGTTTCGTGGTAATATGAGTTCAAGGATCTCAGAACCTATCAGAGCCAGAGCAACCAAATTTGGTATCCACACTCCTGTGATATCGGACCTTGGCCGTTTTGTGTCAAAATTTCGCCACACCCGCCTCCGCCCCCGCAAAGGACAAAAATCTGGGGCATCCACAAATCTCAGAGACTATTAAGGCTAGAGTAACCAAATTTGGTATCCGCACTTCTGTTAGATCTCACTATAAAACGTATATCTCAAAATTTCGCCCCACCCCCTTCCGCCCCCACGAAGGACGAAAATCTGTTGCATCCACAATATTGCAGATTCGGGAAAACTAAAAGCGCAGAATCATAGACAATGATCAGATAAGATTATAGCCAAAAGTAAGAAATCAATTTTCAGTCGCTACGCAGCGTCCGACGTCACGCTTAGACTGATTTTCTGTCTCTCTCGCACGCACTCTTCGTCGTATCGTTTAATATTAGCGGCGTCTGCTAAGTATCGGGTATACATGTAGAGTTGTGATGTCCGCAGCAACTCACAACGTTCCCTCTCGTTTTCGTTTGATATTTATCCCGCCAAAATATCGATATTAAATGATACTTTACTCTAACTCTAACTCGGTGCGCTCTCTCAAATCTGTCACATTTCCATTTGAAGTAGGCCATAGAGTGAAGATAATTCCATATTCAGGAGCCGACTCTTTCAGACGTAAATTTGACTTTTTGGAAAGGATAAGTATCTCATGAAGGAATTATTAATCATTTTAAATTTTTCTGTATTTCGCAAAACAAAAAAAAATATCACCTACAAATATGTGTGCATGTATGTATGTATTCTTAAAAAAAAGTATATAACTAATATTTGAAAAATCAATATTGACTCAACATCCCTAGAAGACAGTACTTTTAAGATTCAAGAGGAACAAAACAACAAGCACCAAGGAACTCATCGTTTTAGTGGCTCAGTAAAACAAAGCTGATGACAATGGCTGGTGAAACTACTGAAACCAGCGCGAACTGAAGAACTTACATATGTATGTACAATGTACATTGTACATGTATGTTTCTGCATTACGAATATATTCAACTCCTTTTCCTGCATATAGCAGTTGTTGAAGTTGAACTCACGCAGTTAGAAGTACATAGTAACGAATGAGAGCGGAACCGAAGTGCATACATGCACTATTTCATAGTTTATCGATTGTGTGTCGCTCATTGCCAATTGCCGTTTCACTGTGACTGATGAGTGAGTTTAAGCAGGAAGGCAGAGGTCCAAACCCTCTTTGATGAACTACTTAAAGGAAAAAAACTTTTGAATTATGCCTGTATCTGCCGTATACAAAGATAATTTTCTGCCCCTCTCGGTTGTTTGATTGATATCCAAACGCGGACCAGTGGACTCGATTTCCGGTGAATACGAAAACAATAACAAATCAAAACGAGGGGGAACAACTCTACAGTTATACCCGATACTAAGTCAGTATGGCTCTCCTCCGGCAGACGCCGCGAATATTAAACGACACAACAAAGAATGCGTGCGAGAGAGACAGAAAATCAGTCTGAGCGTGACATCGGGCGCTGCGTAGCCACTGCAAATTGATTTCTTCCTTTTGGAATCGAATCTGCAATATTGTGGATGCAACAGATTTTCGTCCTTTGTGTGGGCGAAAGGGGGTGGGGCGAAATTTTGAGATATACGTTTTATAGTGAGATCTGACAGGAGTGCGGATACCAAATTTGGTTACTCTAGCCTTAATAGTCTCTGAGATTTGTGAATATCCCCAGATTTGCATCCTTTGCGGGGGCGGAAGAGGGTGTGGCGAAATTTTGAAACAAACTCGTCTCGGTCCGATATATTAGGAGTGTGGATACCAAATTTGGTTGCTCTAGCTTTTATAGTCTCTGAGATCTAGGCGCTAATGTTTTACTCTAAGCAAAGCCGGCTATGCTACGTGTGTGTTAGAGAGAGACAGGGCGAGAAAAAATGAAATTGTTTTTTTGATGCTGGCTATAATAATAATACGATCCAATTCAGATTCTGCAGTCTAAAAGATATGGTCATTCTCTACGATTCTGCGTTTTTGGTTTTATCGTATCTTTAAAAATGTGGATGCCACAGATTTTCGTCCTTTGTGGGGGCGGAAGTGGGCAGGACAAAGTTTTGAAATATTTTTGTAGCAGTGACATATCACAGAAGTCTGGATCCAAAACATCGTTGCTCTAGCTCTTATAGTCTTTGAGCACTAGACGCTGAAGGGGACGGACAGACGAACGGACGGACAGACAGACAGGGCTCAATCGACTCGGCTATTGATGCTGATCAAGAATATATATAGTTTATGGGGTCGGAAACGATTCCTTCTGGACGTTACACACATCCACTTTTACCACAAATCTAATATACCCCAATACTCATTTTGAGTATCGGGTATAATGAGGACAGCCAGTCGGGGAAATGCGAAAATGAGGAAATCGGAATGGGGACGGAGAATTTCTTAAAAATAAATAAGTATGAAATCGGAATTATTGCAAGACAAAACACAGCGCAGATGGGATGGATGTGGGTTTGATATCAAGTGATTAAGCTAGCTCTGAGGTAGAAGTACAGTGCGTTATAAAGCAAATCGAATCGAGAAGGCAAAGCAAACTTTTTTTAAATATGACGCAAAAGCGTGGAGAGCTTGCAATTAAGGTATATACATAAATATAATGGAAAAAGCATATATGTATATATATTTGTATGTTAAGATATAACTGCATTCATCAAATCTATCTTATAGGTACAAAACACTCTGTATGAACTAATCAAATCGTGGGCTGATGATTTCCCCTTCAAGTACTTACAATATGTGTCCGTTGTTAAGCGATCGATGGTATCCTGTTTCAACTTGGAGCTCTTTTTTCCCATGTTGTATTTTTTTCAGCACTCTTTGCTTTTGTTGTTGCTGTTTCACTTGGCTGCTATTGCTTTTTATTGGAAAACTAAAAGTTTCTGTTATACAAGCTTTTCTTACTTTCGTTGTATATTTATTATTTTCTCTTTTTTAAATTGAAAAGTTTTTCATAAGTATTTTAATATTGAATTCTTCTATACAAATAAAATATACACAGGCATGAAAAAATTAGAGACTCAGAGAAAAGTTCATGGCACATTTGATGTTAATAAAACTATAGTGAAATGCAGGAGCATAATCTGTATCGATACAGTCTGTCAGAGATAGTTTTGAGATTCAAGAAAAGTTTCGCTCCGTTTTTCTAGCTCGAAAGTCCTGTGAAGAGAAAAGTTATGAAGTGATTTTAAAGAAGTGTTCATTCCGATCCAACTTTGAGACTCGAGGGTCCTTTTCATGATTATACCCGATACTCAAAATGAGTATTGGGGTATATTAGATTTGTGGTAAAAGTGGATGTGTGTAACGTCCAGAAGCAATCGTTTCCGACCCCATAAAGTATATATATTCTTGATCAGCATCAATAGCCGAGTCGATTGAGCCCTGTCTGTCTGTCCGTCTTTCCATCCGTCCGTCTTTCCGTCCGTCTGTCCGTCCCCTTCAGCGCCTAGTGCTCAAAGAATATAAGAGCTAGAGCAACGATGTTTTGGATCCAGACTTCTGTGATATGTCACTGCTATAAGAATATTTCAAAACTTTGCCCCGCCCACTTCCGCCCGCACAAAGGGCGATATTAAAAGGGGATATTAAATTTGGTTGCTCTAGCTCTTATGGGTTCTGAGATCCCTGAACTCATATTTTGCAATTGGCAAAACCGACCATGAAACCTGTGTGTTAGAGAGAGACAGAGCGAGAAATAGTGAAATTGTTTTCTTGATTCTGGCTATAACAATTATACGATCTGGTTCAGATTTTGCACTCTAGTTTTCTTTAGTTTTCTCGTATTGTGGATGCCACAGATTTTCGCCCTTTATGGGGGCGGAAGTGGGCGGGCAAAGTTTTGAAATATTTTTGTAGCAGTGACATATCACAGAAGTCTGGATCCAAAACATCGTTGCTATAGCTCTTATAGTCTTTGAGCATTAGGCGCTGAAGGGGACGGACAGACGGACAGACAGACAGGGCTCAATCGACTCGGCTATTGATGCTGATCAAGAATATATATACTTTATGGGGTCGGAAACGATTCCTTCTGGACGTTACACACATCCATTTTCACCACAAATCTAATATACCCCAATACTCATTTTGAGTATCGGGTATAAAAGCGCAAAAAAACGTAACCCATCTTGTTAGGAGAATGAGTCATAAAGAAGGGCACCCACGTGGACGTTCACTAGTGGGCAAAGAGGCAAAGGAGGCCACACTGCCTTCTGCGGTTGACGCGAATGGCATAAAAATAAGCTGCCATTGTTTTTCTGCACTGGCATCCTGCCCCTCCAGGGGTACGGTGCGGAAATGCCGGAATGTGATGAGTTACAGAGGCCGAGGAGCATGAAACGAATTAATTTCTGTTAATTTCAGATGCAGACCCGCAAAGATGTCACATGCAAAATAACGTTTGTATCAAGTGTAGTAAACGCAGATACAAAATCAGCAAAAAACGAGGGGGAACGTTGTGAGTTGCTGCTGCGATCGCACCTCTATATTTATGCCCGATGATTAGTCAGTATGGCTCTCCTCCGACAGACGGCGCTAACATTGAACGACAAAGAGATAGCAAGAGAGACATAGAAAATCAGTCAGAACGTATCGTCGTGCGCTGCGTAGCCACTGCAAATTGATTTTTTCATCTATAATAATGATCCGATCTGATCCAGATTCGGCAATCTAGTCATTCTCTATAATTGTGCGTTTTTAATTTTCTCGTATCTTCAAAATTGTGGATGCTACAGATTTTCGTTTTTTGTGGGGCGGAAGGGGCTGTGGCGAAATATTGAAATAAACTTGTAACAGAGAGATCTAAGAAGATACCAAATACCAAATTTGGTTGCTCTAGCTTTAATAGTCTCTGAGATCTGTGGATGCCACAGATTTCCACAGTCCTTTGCAGAGCAGAAGGAAGTGGGGCGAAGTTTTAGAATACACTTGTGCGGGTTCGATATCACAGGAGTGTGGATACCAAATTTGGTTGTTCTAGTTTTTATAGTCTCTGAGATCTAGGCGGTAATTTTTAGCAATTGCCTATCGCCGACCATGAAACTTGTGTGTTAAAGAGAGACAGGGCCGGAAGGGGGCGGGCCGGCATTTTGAAATACACATCGAACAGTGACATATTACAGAAGTCTGGATACAAAATGTCGTTGCTCTAGCTCTAATGGTCTCTGAGCAATACGCGCTCATAGGGACGAGCAAATGGACAGACAGACATGGCTCTATCAACTCGGCTATTGATGCTGATTAATAATATATACTTTATGGGGTCGGAAAAGCTTACTTCTGGACGTTACATACATCCATTTTCCGCTTAAATCTAATATACCCCTATACTCATGTTGTGCATCGGGTATAATAATACGTAACGTACGCTCCTAAGGGCAGTGTGAGATTGTTATATCACATAGCTCTGAAAAGAGGGCCCCAAGGAACGAATAAGTCTTTTTATCAGTCCCAATTCTAACTAATCTTTTAAGTTATTTAATTTACTTGATATCGGTTGAGAATCCTGTCAGGAACTGAAAGTTTCGAAGAGATTTCTACAAAAATATTTTCACCTTAATGATTCCTAGAAATAAAGAAAACGTTAAATCCCTTATGAAAGTATGTATGTACATATGTATGTATGTATCCCTTTATAAAAGTACTAAAAGGGCCTAAGGAGCGACCTTCTCCGATTTTGTAAGGGTGAACATTTCTGATGGTTGTGGCATTGTTTGTCTACAAAAGTGTCAGACACACACGTTAAACCTACCACCTACATTGCTCCTACCACCTCCACCACCCCCTATTTTTCCTTGTGTCTCTCGCTCTCTCTGTTCCTCTGCCTGCGCTTCCTTTTTTTCAAAACATGAGCCATTGGCATTTACTAACTAAACACTGTTTGGCTTTGCGTGTGTGTGTTTGTCTGTATCTATGTGTTTTTTTGTGTATTTTATCATGTCAGGTGCGCTCTTCTGTGTATGCGTATGTGTTTTTTCGTAGTCTGTTTCAGGTTCAGTTCTGCGCTATCTTGTTTCGCTTTTTACAATGAGCCACGCGCGGAAATTTGTTCACACTAAAAATATTTTTATGTTTATTTCGTTCATAGCTGGCTGCTAATGCAGTGCCAAAGAAAGAAAGGGAAGATGTGGATACAGGGACGGCCCACTTCTTTCTTACCCACTTACCTTCTTAGAGCCCTCTCCCAGCCTCACTCTTGGCCCAGCTTCTCGCTATAACTCGACTCTTTTTATCTGTCTGAATGTTTCTTCCACCCTCTTTTCCTTCTCCTCTCGTCGTACCCCGCAGTGTGCTTTATTTTTATGCTGCAGTCTCTCTCTCCCTCATCTTCAAGTCCTTGCCGCGCTTAGCCCATGAGCATGCAACACTTGCCTCGAACACATGAAACACACTCGCAAACAAATTTCTGAATTCCAACCGTAAGGTATACATATGTGCAGGCAGTTTTAGTTTAGGAGCCGGCCTTACCTTCTGTGTAATGAACGCTTTCCGCACAGAACGGATTTGGAGCAGGGCGCAGAATTTATTCGAATGAAATGGATTGTAAACGATTCCCAGATTCCTAGAATGAGGGAGCGGGCTATAACGGTTCTGCGAGTGGGCCTGCGACTTATATTAGATGAGGATAGACGAGGATGAGGAAGATACCCATTGCATCTTAATATCTAGGAGCTCAAGAATCGTAGGTGGCATATTAATTACTCCCGATACTCCAAAGAAATTATAGGGGTATATTCGGTTTCTGCACAAAATAGATGTGTGTAGCGCACGGAAGGAAGTAATAATATCACATTGAATCAAGCTTGTTTCAAAATTTGGCCCGGCTCCCTCCCACCCCCGCAAAGGACGACAACCTGTGTCATCCACAATTTTGAAGATATGTAAAAAACGAAAACGCAGAGTTGTAGAGAATGCTTATCAAAATTTTGCTCCAGCGGAAGAGAGCCATACTGCCTGAGTATCGGGTACAAATGTAGAGTCGCGGCCGTAGCAGCGGCTCACAACGTTCCCCCTTGTTATTTCCACTGTCACGAGAATCGCAGCGGAAAAACTGAGAGTAGAGGGGAAACGGACGGAACGAAAAGAAAATCACCCAATGCAATAAATGGAAAATGGTTCGAATATGAAATGAAAGACTCGATGCAAAAAAGAATGACGACTTCAAGTCTTTGAAAGCTAAGACTAAAGAGGAGGATAAGAATATGCGGAGCGGGTGGGTACCGAGGAAACCGGGGGAGATTGCAATCAACTTCGCGAAGGATTGTCTGAATGTCAATCTCTACCGCGAGGCGATTTGATAAGGCCAGCATCAGAGCGGACGAATGGGGAAAACCCTATCGAAAAAGACAATAAAACTTGTATTTTATCGTTGTGGGAATCAAATTTATCGTTGAAATGCTCCAACTATTTTTCATTTATATATTTTTAACTTTAATATAATGGTTTTTTTTTTACATTTCCATTCATTTAAACTTAAATTCGTAATTTCTCTTAAGTCGAAAATCCCACTTTCTGCTCCATCAATGATAACCATTTTGTTGATGCAGGAGCTACCGATAATTGTTAGTCACTAGCCATCACAAATCGTTCAATTTGATTGCAAATTAGAGATTCTATCTATAGATGGCCACTCGGCGGCAATTGGTCTGTGTACGTGCCCGTTCCTTCGTCCGTGAAACGTATCCGTGTTTTGGCGTCCGTATGTCTGTATTTCTGCGTCTATGTCTACGTCTGTGCTAATGATGGTATTTTTTGCTGTTGTTGGCTTGCCTTTTTGCCTGATGACCAGTGCCAATTAACTAATAATTGATGTAAATTAAAATGCATTTTGTCGCCATGTTTAGTTGTCACTCGAATAAGGTTAATGGAACATCTGCTTTGGAGGAAAGCCCGTTGAGTAAAATGGCGAAATAGCACACAAGGCTGT